TCCCGCTAAATCGATCATTGATAATTTAACTGTTCGCTTAGTTCCGGTTTTTCGGTCCGTCATGCGAATATGCACTTGGAATATAGCATGCGAACGTGAACTCTCTGCATTGGCATCTGTCGGATGTTGGGTGCGATTTGAGTTACCTTGCGTCAGAAGTTGTAGAAGCTCATCGGCGCTATAAATTGGCTTTAAGACAAGTCCACTAACAACAACTCCATTCGAATCCTCTCGTAGTTTTAATGGTCCAGTTTTGGTCAAAAGGTTCATTACTAATTCGTTGTATACCTCCAAATAACTTACACCTACATCAAACTTATGAGTCGCACTTTGAGCTTGGATTTTTTCAAATAATTCACGCATAGTTAGGTATGTTAGGCCTGGGCAAGAGTCATTGCCTAACATTGTAAAAGTTTTCCCTGCCCCAGTGGCGCCATATACAAATACCGAACAGTTATACCTACCAAGCATTAATACGCATTTTTAATTGAACTTAAATCATTTATAGAAGTTTATATACTAACCCGTTCAGAACAGAAGCAACTAAAGGAGAAGTGCATTCCTCAAAAATTTGTTGATTAGTTGTTTCTGGGTCAAATACAATATCAAAGTCCATACTAATTTTTTTGTTCACTCGTTTTGTAATATCGCGGTAGTTTTGCTTTGTTCCTTGGAAAAAGAACTCATCATCTTCTTCATCTGGATCAAAGAGAAGCGTGCTATTGTCCAACACTTTGACAATTTGACGCTGATTCTGTTCCAACTCCCTTCGATTGTACGGTCGCACGCGCACAACCACTTTTATATTGGTTTGCTCTCCTGACATTTAATAGATTTTTTTGTTTATGAGATTATTAATTAATTTCAAACAAAATAAGATTTCCTTATAGCGGCTTATTTTTGAGTGGCAATTTGCTTTCTGCTGCAAGTTTGAAAATTCAACTGTTTTGATGAAACGAAGGTTGGCAGCATTGATTTACCTTTTGGCACCAATGCTGCCACATATTTATAACAAACTGCTAATGAATGTTAAAAGCGTGGTTAGACGTGGCAATGCAAGCGCTTTCTCTACGAATTGTGGGAACATGTGCAAGACACGTATATTTTCGAAAAAAAAAAAACATAGGGGATTCCCTTAAACTCGTAAGGTCTTAAACCGTGTAAAACTCGTAAGTTTACGAGGCTTTTATGAAACCGCCCCCTTTGCGAAAAAAAGTAAATAAGTGCGTAAAGTGACTGACAGATCAACCAGGATTTTGTGAAGCGAATTTGTTTCGTAGAATTTTCCATAACATCTCGCCATCTTATCTCTATCACTCTTGGCAAAAATACAATCAAATATACCGAAAATTAGTAGACAACTTAAGTCAATATAATTAGTGGATGCAATTCATTATTTTTATTCGCGCATTATATTTTTCATTCATTTTTATTATTTTATCATACATTTTAGTATAAAAATTTCGGCCACTCGACCACACTGAAGTTTACGAGGTCGTTTGCGCATCGAATTAGCCTCGTAAATAGAGCTCCATATAAATTTTGACATTTCTTTTACGAGGCTCGTAAATTTACGAGGTTTTTACGAGTGTAGGGGAAGACCCCTAGTGGATCCATATTGATGGATTGATGGATCGCGCACGAATGCTACATGATCAATATTTATCGCGACAGTATTTGCATAACTTTTGCGCTGAACGCTTATTATGGCGCAAGAAAATATGTATATTTTGTACGTATAATTTACAGTTAATGCATTCCACAATTATTTTAAAATTTCCATGTTAATTCAAATTTTCAATTTGTTTTGAAAGGGTTTAAGCACCGAGCGCGAAGGCAGAGCGAATACGTTTTTGCCGTTTGCACTATGGGAGTAAAAGATGTACTGACGAAAGGTATGGATCGAGTTTGGAAAGTGCTAGACGAATATTTATTGACGGTATTGCAATCCGCGATCCAGATTTCAAAATTTTTAGAAATTTTGCGATATGGATCACGATCCATCAATATTGCATGCTATATCGTCAACGAATATCTCGGGACTTGGATCACGACAATAAATACTGACCGTGTGATAGAGCCCTATGGAGGAGTTTATACTGATTACAACATTTTTTTTTTTTTTTTTTTAAACAAACTCTAAAGGCCGTTTGCACCATGTCTAGTTAATTCTAACTCCCAGTTAAACATCTTTATCGACGTTATCGACACCCATCATATAACATGTGATCGATAAGCAGTTAACGTGCTTAACTGAAGGATGTACCTCCAGTTAGCGTTAACTAGACATGGTGCAAACGACCCTAAGTTCTATTTAAGGTTAAAGGGTTAATAAAGGTTTTCTTGAAAATTGTACATATGTATCCTAAGGCCAGCTCTAAAGAAAAGCAACAACTCCATATAAAATTACGTACAAGAATGGCAAGAAATTTCAAATGAATATTTAAACGGCACTTACGTTTAATTTTTTATCGTTTTTCGGTTTGTATAGTAACCAATAGTCAGTACTAATTTGTACTGGAACCACGTTTTATTATGCAATAAACTGTAAAAACAAACCTCGTTTATTTTCCATACATAAGACTTGGGTACAATAAATAGTTTTATTAAAAGAAAACTAAACACATGCATTTTACACATGAGGCTAGGTATTAGGGCCAGAGGAGCCTATCTACAACAAAATTTTTAATAATATGAGAAAGGAGGATATATAAAAAATAAATGCGGTCTTTTACTAAAAAATTTGCACATACGTGATGCTACATATTATAGTAAAAGAGCTACTCTTGCGCTCAAGGCCTCATATAATAACTAGAAATGTATATTTACATACTTATAAAAATACATTTTTATTCAATCAAGAATATAACAAAAATTTGTGAAACAAAAAACAACACATAAATATTTTTGCAACGCACGCGTTTAAAATATACTTTTCATAAAAGCGCGCTTTAAGCTCTTGGCTTTTTAACGGGATCTTAGCCTCAGAACAAAAAATTAATTTAAAAAATCCACTTATGTTTAGACCACCGGCCTAAATTTGTTTGAACTTTTCGACCCACTATAATAGTTAACATACTTACGATATTATGGTTGTCGTCCAGCTGTTAACTGCTATGTTAAGAAAATATGCAGTTATAACTTTCGTTAATTAAAGAGTTCAACAGGCAATCGTAAATAAAACTATCCGAGAAGGAAGACTCCCAGCCACCAAGTTCCAGAAATTTATAATCAAGGTGACCTGAAATATAAATATATATATATATATATATATATATATATATACACCTTACACTATTAAATGAATTATCAACGTTGTTCTTATTGGTTATACTAATACCAAAATTCTTTTAATTTCCTTCAATTTTATCATCGGTGCGAACTTGCAACTAAACCTCGCCACAAGCGTTGCGCCGATGACTAACTTAAGAGCATATACCGAAGCGCTAAGGAGCCCAAATACACCGCAAAAACTGTTGTTCAAACCTCCTTTTTTCATTTCCATAATATATGGATAAAGTTCTGTCAATAAATATTGAACGTGTGCCATATTTCGTGATAACAATTCACGGCTCGGCATTTCGCGTTGCATTTCGAACAAATTAGTAGTGGTATCACCATACATATAATAAAACGTATAGATGATTTTCAATAAAATAACATAAAGGTAAAATTTCCAGGCTTCATCTATTGGACTTTAAACCTCTCAACACAAAAACATGTAATAACCGACGCGATAAATATTAAACATTTTAGTATTAACTATTTTGAAATCCATCAATATGTATTACGATTCAAATATCACAATAAATATTGAACATGTGACAGTCGCCCCACACTGTGATAAATTAACCGGCGGCCTTCACATGCTTGCAAATCTCGCTCGCGTTCTGCTTTTTTCTCTCGCAAGCGAGATAGAGTTTTGTTGACTGGGCATTTGACAACATACTTTTTCATTTGTAAAATTTCGCCAAACAAGAAGGTTCAAGCATTGCAGGCTCTTAAAAGTTTGAGAAAATTAGAAAATCTGCATAAAGAGATGTATACTATTTTCAAATGAAAAATGGCTGCCTCTAAATATGTATTTGCCCCCAAAATAAACGTTGTTGCTACTCTGAAGAATTCTGCGAAATAAGAACCGCTCGGTATGCGAGAAAAAGCATGCTTCGTACTTTTTGCGTTCTACACGTGTGGTTTCTCGCATGCGTCGTCACGCAAGCGAGATTTTACAAAATAAAAAAAAAGTTGCCAAGTTACCAAGCACTCAAAAAGTTACCTATTTTGGTCACAAGTGACCAAATGTGGCAACCGTGCGAACGACACAAGATCACGCAAGAACAAGAGGATTAAAATTTTCGATTTTTTTAGCGGGTTCTACGACATCTTGTTTCGCTGGAAAACGAACGAAAAGTAGACCAAGAACAACGAAAACCAAAATTGTTGTCAGCCACTTTAAACACACAATTTATGTAAAATTATTTATAAAAATGCTTTCAAACGTGTTGTCAAGTTGAATCAACTCTTCTTTAGTTAAAGAAAAGTGCAAAATAGTGGTACATGTGATGCAAACAATTGCAAACAAAACCAGTTACAAATACAACGTCGCATTCTTGCGTGATCTTAGGTTTGTTCCACACGAGCCCGCGGGATCCCGCGGGTTCCCAAAACAGCCCAGAAAGCGTTCCTCACGGTAGGAAAACGGGTTGTTGGCGACTGATTGAAAGGCGACAATATTTAGGTATAAAAAATGA